GCTCTGCAAGTGTAAGTATTTCAAAATCACAGCATTTTACACCGGACATGCCTGTGTTATTAATCATCATACATAGAGGGGTGCATTGATAGAATTTGATTTTTGACTGTAAAGGTCCGCTTAAAGGTCATAAAAGATTGATGAATGGATCACAAGTCACAGTTTTTTTAAATAAAATCTCTTATGGTCTTACAATGGTAAAGTGAGCACAAAACACCTATAGGGCTTATAATATGACAATACAGCCGTAACTGCCGGTAGGTCATTTCAGCAGCGAATGCAGTCATTTCTTGACATTTCAGCTGCGGGGAGTGGGGTGGGCAGGGGGCCTAATACATGTAAAATAATGAGGAAACTGGGATTTAAAATAATGTCAATGATTATAAATTATTGTATGTGGCCTATCTAAAACGTCTTCTGTAGATGCAAATAAAATCAAGCACTTCATGTGCAAAAGAAATCTCGCGATCAAAACTCCCTTAATATCTGGTTTATTCTTTACCTGAGCAGAAAGAACTCAACTGTGCAGGATTCTGTACGACAAGGGAGCAGTCCTCTGGGATCGCTGCCAACTTCCCTTTCATATCATATTACTTTTCTTCTATGATAGCTGCTATCTATTAATTGCTTACAGACATATGATGTTCCCATGTCTGGGGAAGGGGATTGTCTATTTTACAGATTTTCTTCCGAATCTTGTAGACTATGTAGGCCAAGTCGTCTTATTTTCCTAACTGCTTATTTAGTGTCTGCAAGAAATGTAAACTAATCACCTATCCTCTGGCAAATTGGGTGGGGGATTTAAAGCCTCATTCTGCTAATTCCCTGTAAAATCTGCTATTTTTAAGCATTCTCGTGCCTCCAGTACACCCTCCGCTAATTTGATGCACATGAATAGGAAGGCACCATATCTATAGGCATAATAGGGTAATGCAAATAACACCGACAGCTGGTAATATGAAATCCCCAGTGACTTTTAAAAGGTGTATGTTTCAAAGCCACCTGTCAAAAGCGTCGCTTAAGAAGTGCAATCCTTGAGAGTTTAGAAGGGCATTCCACAAGGACATAAAAAAAAAAAAATCTAGTACTAGCGAAGTCTATACTGGGAAATACAAAGGCTGCAATCAACCTATGAAACAACTGAGACACCTAAAAAGGTAACATGCATGAAACAATGAAAATGGCCATAACAGTTAAACAATATGAATGTGCATCAATCTAAGCTTAGAAAACCAAATTACAAAACAGGATACCAGCACTATAAACTTGCCGCATATAGTATAATCTCAATATATGTATACAAAAGAGTCAGATCAAGGCAGATGCTGGACAGGTGCTTTTAGCATACATATGTTAAAAGCTATGACAACCTTTTTTGCTATTATCAGACATAGTGCCCAAAAGTACCCATCAAGTTTCAAAATGTAGAAAGAAAACTGCATTCCAAATCTTTTGCTCACTGGAAAAAAAAAATGCAAAGAAGCTACAAGACTCAGTGCACAATGCATTATGCATTTGATCACTTTAAGTGTCTTAAGTCAAATAATGTTGCCAAGTTGCAGGGATCTTATAACATGTGTTGATATAAAAGCCAGGTGTTTTGCCCTTGTAGGGCCACTTGATATCCAGGGCCAGGCTTTACACAGGACTTCAAGTTGACTCTATGGCCCACCCCTTCCTGGAACTAAGCTCCATATCCTGTCATTTAACTGTCAAATGCCAGAGCCTTGAAAAGTGAAGGCTCCAGCATTTGATAATGAATGAGCTCCACATGGATATAGAAAGTGAATTGAAAACTAATGAATGCACTTCAGCAGTTGTTAGCTGAGGCATTGTAGATGCAAAGATCACTTAAATGCCAGTGGCCTTGCATCATACTCTGCTCTCATTTTGATTAAAAAAAATAAACAAAAAATACACTTCATTAAAAAGCTTGAAAGTAGCTTTCCATCTATTCTGCCAAGCTAAAGCAATCTGTTCTTGGGGAAAACCCTTTCCTTATAATTTTGTATACTGGAACGGCACAGCAGTCAGTGTTTTATCTACCTCCGAGTGCCTGTTTGACATTAACCCAATGCTAAAAGCTGAAACCATCATACCCCGACATTAACATCACATTTATAGGCTATCTTTAAGTTTCTGACAATATTCAGGGTGTAATAATGCCAAAGACATGCTGGAAGGTTAATTGGCCCCTATCTATGTATTGGCCTTCGCATGTACGCATGTGAGATAGGGACCTTAGATTTATAAGCTCCTTGAGGGCAGGGACTGATGTGAATGTGCAACTATGTAAAGCGATGTGTAAAATTTTCAGCGCTATATAAATACCTGGAATAATAAAAAAAAGAAATATGGTTCGATCACAATCCCCCTACCCTTACCTGAATCACAGGGTTTTTCTCCCCACAGACTGGTGTGGATGTTTGAATTTGGTGCAGCTGTGTGTGGCTCTGTTCACACAGTCATGCCACCCATTCACAGATCCTTTGACAGATCTATGAATGGGAAAACTACCATGGACTTACCGTTCTCAATGGAATACAATTGTCTATTAATTTTTTCCCCAGGTCCATGTTTCTGAAAGTTTGTACCAAGGTAATGACATGGACGGAAGAAAGAGTCTGCAGGAGCCAGAGCATTACACCCGTGATCTACTGATTGCAGTTGCAATGCTATACTGGCTCCAATATAAATACTAATATTTTTTTCTTTTATGAAGAAGTGTTTATTTTTTTCGAAAAGGTGAAATTTCTTTTTAAAAAGAGGATTAAATAAAACTAAATAGATGTTTTTCACATTTGCTTGGAGACCATTTTTAAGATTTAGAACATTTGCTCTTAGCCAAGTAACACCCAGTGTACACAAGTCATTGACATGTTCTATAGCATATTAATTTCAAACGCAAACAGCACAGAAAAAAGTATGCTTCATCCATAAAATGGGTGGTTCAGTTACCTTATGCCATAATAAAAAAAGATCTACTCAGCTAATGGTTCTTCTGGGGTAGTTCTGAGCCACACCTATCGCAGCCTTCTATGCTATAGCTTTACAGACCCCGATACGTGCCATGTAATATGCCGGCTTTATTCTAGACCTTGTTTCCATTTTATTGTGGCATCACACACAGACAGCAGAGTGCTGTGCACTGATCTGCTTTGTGAACTATATTTAGTGTGGGTTGATGGGCAGAGAAGGACAAATCATTAGCAGAGCTGATCTAGTTCTTTGTTAGACAAAACATTTATGCAATTAGTTTTGACAGAATGCTTTCATCTTTATGACAGTAGATACTTTTACTAGTGTTTTGGTTTGGTTACTGATCCCAATGTTAATGAATCAGAATAGCAAGAATTAGCTTTTAAATTTCATATTTAAGAGTATTGACATTCTAAACTGAACTTAGATTAAAAAAAACCTCATGATTAGCTATTCATTTCCTATCAGCAAAAATAGTGGATTAATTTGTCAAAACGGTCACATGGGAGGCTGAAAGTCACAAATATTCTTCATAGGGGTTACTTTAGTATTTGGAAGATGTTTAAGGTTAGGAATTACATTTTTAAATTGGTCATCTTGGTAGAGGCAGGGTTTTGTTTCCATATGTTGGGGCCTCCAGCAAGAACAATGAATAGCAGTAGTGACATTACCAAATCGCATTCAATCTCTTGAGACTAGGATTTAAAGGCTGCAGTGCTGTAGATCTCCCACTACAGAGTTATAGCTATGAGCTGGAGGCACAGGAGTGCCTAGGCACCCTCACATACCAGAAAGTGCACTGCTACATTTCAGGAGGAATTCAAGACAAAGGGTTTTTCAGGGTACTGCTTAAGCACACATTTCTAAATGTTTCCTATAAACACAGCAAGGTTCAGGTGAGGGTAGGATTCAAATTGACGTTAGCTTAAGGGGTCTATTTATAAAAAAAATTGCATAGCTCATTTGTCCAGTGAAACTGCAGGTACTGTGTGGCTTAACCAGCGGTTGTAAGAATAGGGTAAACGAAAGTTCTTGGTGTAATTTCTCTTCTGGTTGAATGTCCTTCAATAGGTTTAGTCATAAACAACAGCGCCATCTTGTAGTCATAAGGCAGTATTTTCCCGATTCATTCTGTTCTTTACATAATAAACCTATTAAACAACAACAACGGACCAGAAGAGGAGGCGCTACACCAAGAACATTTGTTTTTGCCTTATTTTCCCAACAGCTGGTAAATGTGCATAATGAATATATATGCTGTTTTGCTGTGCATACAAGTTATGCAAATTTGTTATGCACAGACCTCTAAGAGCGAAGTAGATGTGGGCAAGTACTTTACAATTGATTGTACGGCTGTGTGCTCGTGGCACACACAAATATTCTGTATTGATTTGAATTTTATATATTTTTGGCACTTCTCACTAAAATGGAAATCTGGAGGTCTTGACATTGTGTGATTAAACTACAATCTCTCAAATGGACAGAAAAAAATTGCTATATGGAGATGACCTGACCTTTTGAGGTTCCGGGCTAAAGGAAAATACAGTACAATGTACCCTGTCTGTTATGACTGAGACCCTTAAATGTTTTGTTTGAGATATGAGCATCCTGTTTTTGCACAGGTGATATATGACATTATGCCTTTGGGGGTGATATATAAAAAAACAGGAGAATGGGGAGGAAAGCTTGCCATCACATTTAGTCAGCTGAGTTATATATCTGAATAAAATTGGAAAGACACTACATCTAACATGTGAAGTTCAGTATCTCTGATCACAAAGTTTTTATGAAATGACTCAAAACTGTGGCAAGCCTTAGGGGCCAATAAGTTTTTTTAAAGGGTTACCAGTGCACGTTGCTATGAGAAACCACACTGCTTTCACAGACAGTAACAGAGTGAATAACTGATAAATAGCCTAAAACACTCAGCACATGAATCTAATTAATGAAAAGAAAGATGTCTTATGCAATGTTCTATATGACAGCAGTAATAAAAAGCTGCAGGCTAAAACTGCTCTTACCATTGGCATCTTGTACACCAGTTAAAGCTCCAACAGCTGCAGCAGTTTCTCCTGACAAAACGATCTGACCTCCTCCCTGTAGTGTGGCTTCTGCTAAGGTGGCTACTGCATGAGCCGCTGCTTCACTATAGTAAACCAAAAGAATTTAAAAAAAGCACATAAGGCCAGATAATAATATATTTGTACTCACTGTAAAATAATTTTCTTGGTATTTAATAAGGGATAGAGGATTCAGAGACCGTTGGGTTATACTGCCACCTAAAGGAGGATTTGGACATTGGCAAACAAAAAAAACAGTGACCAGCCCGGTATAACCTATCCCACTCACAGCATGCTCGTTTTGTAACAAAGCAGTGTCAAAAGCAAGACCCATTTCCCTCAATGAATTCCAAGAAAAGGATTTTACAGTTAAAAAATCCTTTTTTTCTTTTTCATTCATTGATGGACACAGGAGTCAGACATTTGGGATATTCAAAAACAGTCCAACTGAAGGGTGAGCAACACAACACACAAAACACTAACAGACCCACTAAAAAAACATCAGAAAATAATGGGGTATTATCTGCAGGTCGAAGAGCTGCCTAGTGATTTTACACCCAAAGCTGGTGTAAGTTCATCTGGTAGAATTTAGAGCATGTATGAACAGAAGACCAGGTGGCAGTCTTGCACATCCGGGAAATAGTGGCCTGATGCTGAAAAGCCCAATAAGCAATCTAGTAATGTGTGCCTTGACAGGAAAGGGTAGGAACAATAATATTTATGAGCCACCAAGAAATGGTGGAGTGAGAAGCTGATTCACCTTTGCAAAGGGAAGAGAGAAAAAAACACGAGAGAGAGAGAGAAAAACAAGAGAGAGAGAGAGAGAGAGAGAGATAGAGAGAGAGAGAGAGAGAGAGAAAGAGAAAAACAAGAGAGAGAGAGAAAAACGAGAGAGAGAGAGAGAGAGAAAAACAAGAGAGAGAAAGAGAGAGAGAGAGAGA